GTAACGCCCTCGTCTAACAACTCCTTTCGTACCATACCTCTGTTGAAACGACGTTTCATTATGTCATTATACCCAAAAAAAAATAGCAGATAATTCTTTTTCAAAGCATGAACGACATTTTCATTTCTCGCGTATAATGCTATTTGGTCTATGCGTTTTGTTAGGATATCATGGAATGTCAGTATAGTATCCCCAATTTTTTTGCTTTTCATGCTCTGTAGGTGTTTAATACATTGCTCCGTAAACTTTGAAGGTTGCCCGTTTATATTCCTAGGGATATTAAGATTCTCCACATTTCCGTTATTCACGTCCAAGCTAGCAATCTGCATTCTAATTAGCATACTTGGGATAGGGGAAAACATGCAGTGAGTCACATATTTACAGTTAGAATAGTAAACGAGCAACGCTGTTTTATGGTACTTGTTAACAATGTTTACGTCGCACGCGTTTTCTATGAGAGTCAGAACGGCTTCATACTGATCGGCGCCGGATGCAAGATGAAGTGCAGTATTACCATTCTCATCTATGGAATCAATGTCGACAACCGAATTCAAGAGAATTTCCATGATACGCACTTGACCACGTTCAGCTGCAAAATGTAAAGCTGTGCATCCACTTACATCTTTCTCATTTACGTCAGCACCTCCTTTGACTAGAATTCTGCAAATTCCTTCTTGTTCTTCTCGCATAGCAAACTGGAGCGGTGTCTCGCCTATTTTAGTTTTCAAGTTGACATCGGCACCCTGATCTACGAGGATTTGTACGATATCTTTGTGTCCCCCTATAATGGCTACCAATAGCGCCGTTTTTCCACTTTCGTCTTTGGCATCCACGTTAGCTCCTCCTTTGATTAACAACCAGCAGATTTGTTCTTGTCCTCCTCGCGCAGCAAAATGAAGCGATGTCTCGCCTATTTTAGTTTTCAACTTGACATCGGCACCCTGATCCACGAGGATTTGCACAATGTCTTTGTGTCTCTCCTGAATGGCATCAAACAACGCCGTTAATCCACTGTCGTCTTTGGCATCCACGTCAGCTCCTCTCTCGAGTAGCAACCTGCAAATTTCATCCAGTCCTACTTGCGCAGCAAAATGAAGCGGTGTCCGGCCAGATTTAGTTTTCAAGTTGACATCGGCACATTGATCCACGAGGATTTGCACAATGTCTTTGTGTCTCTCCTGAATGGCATCAAACAACGCCGTTAATCCACTGTCGTCTTTGGCATCCACGTCAGCTCCTCTCTCGAGTAGCAACCTGCAAATTTCATCCAGTCCTACTTGCGCAGCAAAATGAAGCGGTGTCCGGCCAGATTTAGTTTTCAAGTTGACATCGGCACATTGATCCACGAGGATTTGCACAATGTCTTTGTGTCTCTCCTGAATGGCATCAAACAACGCCGTTAATCCACTGTCGTCTTTGGCATCCACGTCAGCTCCTCTCTCGAGTAGCAACCTGCAAATTTCATCCAGTCCTACTTGCGCAGCAAAATGAAGCGGTGTCCGGCCAGATTTAGTTTTCAAGTTGACATCGGCACATTGATCCACGAGGATTTGCACAATGTCTTTGTGTCTCTCCTGAATGGCATCAAACAACGCCGTTAATCCACTGTCGTCTTTGGCATCCACGTCAGCTCCTCTCTCGAGTAGCAACCTGCAAATTTCATCCAGTCCTACTTGCGCAGCAAAATGAAGCGGTGTCCGGCCAGATTTAGTTTTCAAGTTGACATCGGCACATTGATCCACGAGGATTTGCACAATGTCTTTGTGTCTCTCCTGAATGGCATCAAACAACGCCGTTAATCCACTGTCGTCTTTGGCATCCACGTCAGCTCCTCTCTCGAGTAGCAACCTGCAAATTTCATCCAGTCCTACTTGCGCAGCAAAATGAAGCGGTGTCCGGCCAGATTTAGTTTTCAAGTTGACATCGGCACATTGATCCACGAGGATTTGCACAATGTCTTTGTGTCTCTCCTGAATGGCATCAAACAACGCCGTTAATCCACTGTCGTCTTTGGCATCCACGTCAGCTCCTCTCTCGAGTAGCAACCTGCAAATTTCATCCAGTCCTACTTGCGCAGCAAAATGAAGCGGTGTCCGGCCAGATTTAGTTTTCAAGTTGACATCGGCACATTGATCCACGAGGATTTGCACAATGTCTTTGTGTCTCTCCTGAATGGCATCAAACAACGCCGTTAATCCACTGTCGTCTTTGGCATCCACGTCAGCTCCTCTCTCGAGTAGCAACCTGCAAATTTCATCCAGTCCTACTTGCGCAGCAAAATGAAGCGGTGTCCGGCCAGATTTAGTTTTCAAGTTGACATCGGCACATTGATCCACGAGGATTTGCACAATGTCTTTGTGTCTCTCCTGAATGGCATCAAACAACGCCGTTAATCCACTGTCGTCTTTGGCATCCACGTCAGCTCCTCTCTCGAGTAGCAACCTGCAAATTTCATCCAGTCCTACTTGCGCAGCAAAATGAAGCGGTGTCCGGCCAGATTTAGTTTTCAAGTTGACATCGGCACATTGATCCACGAGGATTTGCACAATGTCTTTGTGTCTCTCCTGAATGGCATCAAACAACGCCGTTAATCCACTGTCGTCTTTGGCATCCACGTCAGCTCCTCTCTCGAGTAGCAACCTGCAAATTTCATCCAGTCCTACTTGCGCAGCAAAATGAAGCGGTGTCCGGCCAGATTTAGTTTTCAAGTTGACATCGGCACATTGATCCACGAGGATTTGCAC